GCCTCTGCAACCGCCAGGAGGTACTACCCACCTCCCTCAAAATACACAATTGGAGGTGTGCATTACAATGATTAAAGATCAGCAAGGTCTAACCTCGTATATGGTCACCACAGGAGCTACACCGCCTCAAGAATGGACTGTCGACTCATACAAGATCGGATGGATATTGACTGACAACATCGGTACAGTTACCAAGATCCCCCTGACTGAGTACTCATCCAAAGTTGGCTACAAACTCCACTCTAACAGTGCTTCCCTACAAGCTTTTTTTTTTTTTTTTTTTTTTTTTTTTTTTTTTTTKTAATARAGGGCCCAGTGCCCAAGGCTGATATTACCAATAAGAGGAATGAGGCCGGGGTCCTCACAGTCTGCCCGGAGAAACAAAACCGAACTTGCTGAGAACCAAGCTCAGCGTCCCTCACATCCACTACAAATGGTCCTCACACATCTCAACCCTGAACTTACGCCCTATCACTCCCGAATGGATACAATTCTATATCCAGATGATCCTTGGGTGTCTTGAGGTGAAAGTAGGTGGCCTCCAATGGCTGCACCTTCACTCAAGTACACCCACAGCTGCATGGTGTTTAAGAAAGTGCATGGACATCAACACCACCTGTGACGCGTGTCCCCACGCCACTCTCGAGGACTCGTGTCATCTATGGTGGGAGTGTGTCATCGCTCGCGGTTTTTGGGATGAGGTTCGTACAATCTGGCTGCAGACCTATGGCAGGGACACAGACATATGGAACAAGGACTTCATCATTACTGGAAGAGACTGCACCGGCCTATGGGACTCAGCAAAAGAGAAGATCGCCATCAAGATTCGCCTCAGAGGCTTTTGGTGTCTGTGGATGGCTCGTTGAGACAGGAGATTTCACAATGTCCTCCAGCAGGCTGCGGAACTGGGGGCTATACTTCGTCACTCTCTACGGACGGCGATAGCAGCAGAATTGGTCTCTCTGGAGAGGAAATCCTCATCCAAGCAAACGGCAGCGGAAAATTAAACCAGAGCTGTCATGCTCCCATTCCCTGGGCATCCGTCTCTGAAACTTTCAGTCTTCAATACTCTAAGTACCTATGGGATCCTATACCGCCCACTCCCTAACTATGCCCACCTGGTGAACCCCTGGCCTCCCCGCCCCCACACCACCTGGTTAACGCAATATTTGTTTCCTCTACATGGTTGTTGTGCCTCCCGCCCCTCTAGAACACTAGTATACCAAGAAAGCTTTTCATTATCTCTCCCAACCAGCAACCTCCAATCCTTTCCCACCCCCATCAGCAGTCTCAATTCTGCGCATTTGCCCTCTACCTGCTGCTCCTCACCTACCACGATGAATCTCTCAATCCCTTACTGTCAGTTCCATCTCAATTGCCCTCCACAGATCAAATAGACCCGGTCGATATCAGGTTTGGTATCCTACTTAGGTGATGCTACATTGCAGCTATTAAGTTCTTATACTTCTCCATTCAAGATGCAGTGAGAGGTCCAGCACAGCAAGTCAGCACTTCACTCTTCTCAGACAGCCTGCTGGCTGAGACACTACGCTGTTGGGACCTCCCCTAGATGGTAAGTTGAATATTGGTAATGCTCCCTTCTCTTGCTTGCTCAAGCAGAGCCGGGTAAGGCTCCCGGACACCAATGGATGTAATCATTTTCACCTGATCTCTGTTATAAGGGGCCCTGGACCCTGTTTCCAGCAGGTGAAGCTCCCCACCAATAGACTGGAGTCGTCCACCCAGAGGCCTTGATCCAGTCGGTTCTCGTACCACCACAGGACTGCAGCCGTCCACAGGACGTTTAAAAAAAAAAAAAAAAAAAAAAAAAAAAAAAACGAAGGGCCTCGCTCCACAAATTCTCTGCCAGAACACGGAAAGAGACATTGCCTCATTTTTCGTCTTTTCTGCATGTTGAACGTTCATTTTTCGTCTTTTCTGCATGTTGAACGTAGTGGAGCGAAGCCCAAAGCTTGGGAGGGTATCAACAGGGCGCACTCTTTTGTCTTTTGTGCATGTCCAGAGTAGTGGAGCAAAGCCCAAAGCTTGGGAGGGAACCAACAGGGCACACTCGCACTAGGATCTCTGGAACTTGCCCCACGGCACACGCAATGAACCAAATCGGGACCTGGCAAGTTATGAATTCCTGTTTCCAAAAAAATAAAAAATAAAAAATAATCCATGTTTTCAACAGGTTTTTCTACTCGGCCGCACAGCACACGTGAACAGCTGCCCTCACGGTTCTTGGGATGGGATGGGAGCCTCTTGTAGCGTTTGACAAACAGTGGTTCAGGCGGGTCTGGGAGAGCATACCAAAAGGTCTGGCTCCACCGCTCACCAAATGTGCAAAATGGCAATGTTCAAAAAAAAAATAAAAAAATAAAAAATGGCAATGAATCTTCTGCTAGAACATCAAAAGATACAGCGCCATAGTTTTTGTCTTCTGCACCTGTGGTGAGTAGTGCAGCGAGTCCCGAAGTCGGAAATTTCAAGGCGTTTCATCGGTCCTCAAGGGTTGCTCCGGGAGCATGGTCCCACTAGCAACGGGGATTCTATTAAGGTCCTGAATCTGGGCGTGTTTTAGACAGGGATGCAGAAAAGGAGTTCAATCTCAATTTTCTGCACTTGTCCACAAACGCCTCCAAATTAAGGCGTTCAATCCAATCCTCTTTGCTAGTGGGACCTCGCCCCGGAGCACCTTCAAAAGTCGACTTACAAAAAAAAAAAAAAAGACTTACCTACCGGCCGAGCTCCAGTTGGTACACCCATGAGCTGTTGAACTATTGGACCTTGCTGTACTACTCTCCACATGCGCAAAAGACAAAAAAAAAACGATGGCAATGTATCTTTCCATTCTAGTGGTGGATTCAGGGGCTCGCCACACAGGCTTTCGAAACGTGCAAAATAGAGGCCTTGTCTTCGTCACACAGGCTTTCGAAACCAGTTCTTTCGAAAAAGTTTCGAAAGGTGTCAGATTGGCCGGCGTCGAAAGTCATTTCGAAGAGATGAGATCCTCCCGCCTGTCATGAGCGTTTCCTCGAAAGACCTCGAGTGGTCTTGTGAAAAGGCCCACTCGAAACGGTTCATCGAAAGACCTCCAGTGGTCTTGTGAAAAGGCCCACTCAAAACGGTTGATGGGTCGGCAGAAAAAGGGGCCATTCCAAGGGCCTGGCTCCACTACTCTCTACATGCACAAACGACAAAAATTATGGGGAAGTATCTTCCCATGTTCTAGGCAAAGATTCAGACTCTCGTTTTACACGCGGAGTGAGCAGTGGAGCCAGGCCCTAATGTGCATATATAGAAAGGCCTGGGTGTTTCTAAAGTCTGTGTGGAGAGGGGGGGGTTCCTTTCGACAAGCAGACTTTCGAAAAAGGTCTGACACCTTGTGAAAAATGCCTTCTTTTGAAAGCCTGTGTGGCGAGCCCCTCAGTCTCTCTTTTTTTTTTCTTTTTTTTTTTCCTGCTGGAAATCGGGTCCAACGTCCCTCTACAATTATGAGACTGTATCTGCTGGAAAACGGGTCCAGCATCCCAGTACATTTTGCACATTTGGAGAGTAGTGCAGCGAGGCCCGTTGGCCCGACCAATGAGCTGTGGCCTGAGGGCATACTCACACGGGGACCAAAAGTCTCAAAAATTTTGAGGCATTTGGTTCGGGGTTTTTGAGGCATTTGGTTCCCGTGTGGTCACACGGGGGGACTTCGGACAAAGTCGCGACCCTGACACTTTGCACTCAGGGCAAGTGCCCCCGGTCACACGGGCGAAGACCAAACAAAAAGATGAAATTTCTTTTTCTCTTTTTTTCACGCCAGTATACCGCGGGGGCCTTCGCTACAACGTAAATGTTTCTGGTTGCACTTCCAGTTGTTTGGCGGGCTGTCTTCTTTGTCTACAATTTTCTTCAATTCACGAACATAAAAAAAAAAAAAAAAGGAAAAAAAAAAAAAAAAAAAAAAAAAAAAAAAAGGGAAGGTAATTTGAGACCACCTCTGGAGGTGGTCTCAAAAAGGGTCCTCCCGCGGCCCCGCAGGCCGCTGACAAAAGGGTCACCGTTTGAGGCATTTGGGTAGGGGGCCTCTCCAGTGTGACCCAAAAACTGACTCAAATTTTGGGATTTAGGGTCGTTTGGTCCTCATATGAGTATACCCTGAGTTTGCCCCAGATGAGTGAAGACAGCGCTGAATAAATATCGGAGGGTTCTTTTCTTTCCGACAGGAAGAAGTCTTTTATTGCAGGCCCAGTGCTCGGGGCAGTACATAGGGCCTCCCCACACCATTGTCCAAATGTGAAAAAGACAAAAATGTGGCGGGTGCATCTGGCCGTGTTCTTGCGGGAAGTTCGGTCTCACACAAGCACTGAGAGTTCAGGGATGAATAGGCCTCAGACTGTACCCTCGCACAGAGCCTCACCCCTGCAGCCAATGAGATCCAAATCACAAAACTAAAACTCTGTTTTCAACATTGTATGCCCTCAGGCGACTGACCCAAAACTGGAAAAGTAAACCTAAACTTAAGCTGCCAGTACCTTGGGCAGCAAAAGGGGGACCAATAGGGGGCGCAGCGCTACCGGGAGCGCTGCGCCCCGGCATCAACCGCGGCGGCGGAGTGAGGCGGCGAAGCGGGAAGGTGCCCGGCTTGCATCGCTCTCGCTTTGAAGTATCCATACGAACGAACGAAGGCGGGGCGATGGCGTGATGGAGACGCTGGTGGGGTTAAGGGGAGTTACTGGACAGGGTGTCGAGCTTACAGCGGCTACCTATTAAGCGTTTTGCGCACGCGCGGGGAGCAAAGATGCTGGTCTACACCGTATCACGAGTTGATAGGGAGAACTAGACTGACTCCCGGGGGCTTCCTGGGAGTTCCGCGTCCATACTCCATTGCTGCTGCGTTTCTGCCTGTGGCATAGAGCCTGTGAGGTGTCGCCTCTGGTGATGCCTGTGGAGTGCAGCGGAGAGAGCCTTGGGCAACCCGAAGTGCGAGTGAAGTGACTGCCCGTCATCACCGGTGTCTTCGTTTATCGCCATCATCATTTTTTCGTGATCATTACGTCGCCGTATCATCATCATCCTCATCATCATCCTCATCATCATCCTCATCATCATCATCATCAGCATCAGCATCATCAGCAGGGTGCGGCTCATCATCACCTTCATCAGGGCGCTGGGCGCCATCATCATCAGAGCGCTGGGCGCTGTTCGTCATTGAGCTGATGCTCGTCATCATCAGCATCACGGTTGGTCGGTATCATCGCCAGCAGCAGCACTAACGTCATCGTGTGCGTGGTCGTCAGGGTGATGGGCGTCATCATCATCAGGGCAAGGGGCGCTGTTCGTCATCAAGCTGAGTTTCGTTATCAACAGCATCAAGGGGGTGATTCGTCGTCACTATCATCCTTCATCATCATCATCATCATCATCATCATCGTTATCATCACTGTCAGGGAGCGGTTCGTCACCGCCATCATCATTATCATCCCGTCACATCATCATCAAGGTTTGTCGGGATCATCATCAGTAGGATGCTACTCATCATTACCAGCAGCAGCACCAACGTCATCAACAGGAGGTGGATTATCATCACCATCATTCTTTCGTGATCGCAGGGCGCTGTGCGTCGTCGTTGTCATCACCGTCATCATCATCCTCATCCTCATCATCATCATCATCATCATCATCATCATCATCATCAAAATCAGTATCATCACCATCATCATCATTGTCATCATCATCATCACCAGAGCGCTGGGCGCTTCACCATCAAGGGTTGTCGGGATTATCATCAGTAGGGTACTGCTCGTCATCATCATCACTAGCAGCAGCACCAACATCATCAACAGGAGATGAGTTATCATCACTATCATCCTTTCGTGATCGCAAGGCGCTGGTCGTCGTCGTCGTCATCACCGTCATCATCATCATCATCATCATCATCATCATCATCATCATCATCATCATCACCATCATCATCAGCATCATCATCATCATCATCATCATCTTCGAAATCAGTATCATCACCATCACCATCACCATCACCATCATCATCATCATCAATCATCTGAAAATCGTTTAGTCTCAGGGTGCCGTTTTCGGCTTCACGTAAATCCCGATTAGCTACATCTTGGTTAGTCATATCTAGATCACCTATATCTTGATTACCTAGATCTCGATTACTTACTTCTCGATAATACTTCCATCATCATCACTACCATCATCAATAGTAATATCATCTGAGAACTTTTCGGTCTCAGGGTACCGTTTTTGGTTACCCAATTATCTAGTAGCCATTAATAATTACATCCTGATGAGCTATATCTTGATT